CTTTCTTTTCATTTGCCTTTACTGCAGCTGTTGTCCTTGACTTCAAGTCTGGCATGATCCAAATTACTCTGTCCATCAAACCCATCCCAAATTGTCCTAGTACCTTCCTTCCTCTTCCCTGCTTCACAATCCCATTTGTTTTGCCCTTTCCGTGCAGTCTCCCACCTTAGAACACCTGTGTCATCCATGACCAGGCCAACATCCATGTTTCAGTTCTGGATCCACCTAGAACACACACGTTTCAATCTAGGCACAGACTGTTGCATGGAAGAGTCCATTCACAGTATCTTTTGAACCTATCTATGTAGACTATTTAGTAAATTTAAAGGTGTGTTTGAATAAAAATTAGACAAAAAATATGTTAATGACAGATTTTAAACTAAGAATGATAAAACTGATTCTTCTCAGATGTTGCTGTTCAATTCCCAGGAGACTCATAAACATGCCCAATAATGAATTACTGAGATCTAACTGAAGAATAGGAAGGCCACAGATTCCCTATCTAAGACTAACCTGTGATATCAATAAAAACATTTGAACTACCCAACACAGAATAGTCAGACAGAATCTTAAGAAATTAAGATTAGAAATGTTAATTTCTCAATGATATTCATAATGATCAACCTACTGATTTCTTTGGGCTATCTATCTGATAAATATTCTGAACCAAAGCTGTAATTTTCTGCAATTCAATTGTGCAATCAAAAAAAAATATAGAATCCTAAAAATCAAAACATAACTTTCACACATTGAATGCCCATTAGGAATACAAAACTTTCACACATTTGATTTTTTTTTTTTACTCTTCCTCTGGAGATGAAATCTAGTTGTGTGGAATGCTGTTGAAATTAAGTTTGTTTTATTATGGCTTCTGGGTACAGAGCTAATGTTTAGATTATTGGCTTCTTTAGTGGAAAAGCAAGAAAATTATAATGAGGCATATGCTATTTTATACAGAGAAATGACAAGATTTTTTTAAAATATTACAGCGAGTAATTTTAAAAGTCTAGCCCCATATAGTAATAAATGTGGTAATAATAGGACAAATTATTTTCACAGAATGTACATAAGCTATGTTTATTTCCAAAAAGAGTAAGTGTGTGTGTTTTACGTACTTGTGTTGTCAGTAATAAAAAGGGTATCTATAAGGTGAGCATTCATTGTCAATTATTACAGACTAGAGCTTTCACATTTTTCTTTGCTGTGTCCCTTTTCCTAGGAGAAGTATTTTCTTCATTATAAAAGAAAAAGTAGGCACAGCCTTAAAAAATGCATGTTGTGGGGACAGTTGACAGATGACCCTCTGTGGAACTTGATTTCGCAAACCTAGGTATTTGCCAGCTCTAAGACAACTAAAGTTGCTCAACCTTTTTGTGTCCTTGTACATCCATACCCAGGTGACCATGTTCAAGCAAGCAGAAAGTTGATTTAAACCTCATAATGACATCAGTTTAGAGCCATCAGATTTCTCCGATAAAGAAATTGTGTTGTATTCTGGCATGTCTAAATTCTCAAATTATCTTTTCTCTCTTCTTCCCAAACCTAATAAAGCTACAGGATCATAAGGGAAGGTGAAAGGAAAAAAAAATAACTAATACCAGACACTGACCAATTAAAATCCCTTTTGTTAATGTTTGCCTTATCATGTGTAAATCCCTCTTTAAATATCTCCCCCTCCTAAGTTACAAGAACTAATAGTTACACTAGACAGTGAAGCCTATTCATCAATCAATGCCACAACTGCTGAATTACCTACTAGTGTCTCTGATGTGTTGCTGCACAAATTACACTTCATGCATCACCACATTCATTTCTTTCACATTACATGTTAGTGTATCTTGTCACTGCCCAATTGCCCTCTTTTGGACAGCTTAAGTGATATATTATGCTATGAAGCTTGCCAAGGAAACTTAATAATAGAGGGACTGTTTGTAAAAAAAGAAGAAGAAGAAGAAGAAGAAGAAGAAGAAGAAGAAGAAGAAGAAGAATTAGAAAGACATGAGTCCAGAGTCCAGAGTCCAGTGAGTGAATATGTAAAAAATAGCTTGTGAGATTTCTGAAGGCATAATTACCTTATGCTATAATGTTTTACGTGAACCAAATCAATTTGGTTTATACTATTTCCTTTAATTTTCCTTTACTTTCTTTCTTTTTAAGTCTCTACAATGGCAATAATAAATTTGATATCACATAAAGTTTCCACTTGACCATTTTCTACCATTAACAAGAAATTACCATTTGAATCCATCCATCTTTGACTCACTGGATGTTTGATTACCACTAAATGGAACCAAAAAACAATTCTTCAGCTTCCTTCCTTGCTTTGGAGTTGGAAGAATGCAATAAATGTAATGGATGCATACCCATGATTAGCAATGAAATATTTCAAGGGGGGGGGGATCAGTAGATGAAACAGTTGAGCATAAGGATTGCTCACAGTTCACCTTGCTGCAGATTACAATCCTAATGGTTAAGCAACAAAGATAATTAGGGGACTGGAGGCTAAAACATATAAGGAACGGTTGCTAGAATTGGGTATATCTAGTTTAATGAAGAGGAGGACGAGAGGGGGACATAATAGCAATGTTCCAATATCTCAGGGGCTGCAACAAAGAAGAGGGAGTCAAGCTATTTTCCAAAGCACCTGAAGGCAGGACAAGAAGAAACGGGTGGAAACTAATCAAGGAGAGAAGCAACCTAGAACTAAGGAGAAACTTCCTGACAGTGAGAACAATTAATCAGTGGAACAGCCTGCCTCCAGAAGCAGTAAATGCTCCAACACTGGAAGTTTTTAAGAAGAGACTGGACAGCCATTTGTCCGAAATGGTGTAGGGTTTCCTGCCTGAGCAGGGGGTTGGACTAGATGACCTTCAAGGTCCCTTCCAACTTTACTACTACTATTATTATTAAGTCTATAGTGGATTAATCACTTTGGAATGTGTAAATTTTAATTGGTAAATTCAAGCTTAGATTGAAGTAAGAAATCCCATCCCTACAATTTAAACTATTGGGGTGGATGCAAAAGGACTTACATCTAAATGTCCCTGTCTAAACTGAGGACTGGGGTTAAGTTTTTTTTTTCTTTTGATACACCTGACTGCAGGAAGCTGAAGTAGGTCAAGAGAATATGTTTGCTACAAAGTAGTCAACCAGTAGGTAAAATGAATCAATAGAATTATGTGGAAATGCTGAGAGGGCTATTCAAATTTCATAGGCATTTGAGGATGTGGGGAGAAAGATAAAGTAGTTTTAGAGCAGAGACACCGCATTAAAAAGAATTCCTTTGTTCAACTCCTGTAATATCATGTTAAGTCTCAATGATGGTAAATATAGATACGACTATTTTAAGAGGTAGAAAGAAAATGTGAAGCTTCTTATCCCTTGTCAAACACAGGATTAAGGCAACGGGGATCTATTGTTCAAACTTGGTAAGGTAAAGAGGATTCAGATGGTGGGGGCATTGCATGTTTTCAAAATGTGACTACCACAATATGTTCAATTCAGGACTCTCACATCTCTATAGCATTGTCAACTTTTGGACTGCAGTCATTAGAAAGCAGCGGGTTTATGTTATACTGTGAAAAAGTTCAACTGCCAAATTTCTGCACATCGAGTGCACGAGCAAGCCTGGCCAGAATTTTTTTGCATCTAAGAACTGCAATGCTCTTACAGAAAGAAAGCAAAACAGTTTTTTTTTTTTAAAAAAAAAAAATGACATGACGGGTAACTTAACTCACTATTTTGTGAAAGTCTTTTTCACCGTCATAATAATTTATCCAATTCAGACATCACCCATCTTCTTCACAAAAGGCACAGTGGGCAGTGTACAAATAAAATATAAAAACATAACAACTGTTTATAAAATGGTATTAAGAGGCAAAGATAGTTAAAATTCAGAATTAAAGACAGAGGGAGGGCCTTCAGGTTGCTAACCAGCCCCATGCCTGTGTGTTCTTCTGGGGTTGCCAGGCAAGAAAGCAGTTATCCCTGATTACATGACAATTTATTCTGTTTTACAGATGGTCCTCGACTTACGACCATAATTGAGTCCAACATTTCTGTTGTTAAGCAATAGATTTGTTAAGTGAGTTTGGCCCCATTTTATGAACTCTCTTGCCACAGATATTAAGTGAATCACTGCAATTGTTAAGTTAGTAACACGGTTGTTAAGTGAATCTGGCTTCCACATTGACTTTGCTTGTCAGAAGGTCGCAAAAGGGGACACATGACCCCGGGACAATGTAATTATCATTCATAAATATGAACCAGTTACCAAGCATCTGAATTTTTGATCACACGACCATGGTCGTAAGTGAAAAAACAGTCATAAGTCACTTTTTTCAGTGCTGTTAACTTTTAATGGCCACTAAATGAACTTTTGTAAGTCGAGGATTACTTATATACAATTATTGCTAGCAAATCTTTTCAGACTGTTCGCGGAAGGACTACGAGCACCATGGTCTGGACAGAGGAGCAGAGCCTTATGGACAGTCTCCCAACAGTACAGATCATCCAAAAATTAAACAAGTTGGAGGATTAACTTGTGTGATTTTTGTTTGACTTAAAAACTCCAAAGAGTCAAGGTATCCAGAACTCTTTATCTATATAGTTTGTTACCCAGAACTTTTTTGTCTGCATTCTTGTATCACGAAAAGCTGATCTAACTAAAAAGCATGAGTTGGATTATTCTCTTGTATGAAGGATCGCCTGTTCTAAGGACAGACCAGCCTAACAACCATCACAAGATGAATATTAGTTTGGAAAGTTGGGGCCTGGGGTCTATAAGAAAGTAATTCCGCTTTCAGAGGAATTTCCTTAATCACCATAGAAAGGTAGAGTTGCACAGACATCACAAATGTCTATTATTTTTAAAGCGTGTCAGCTAGAAAAAAGGGATGCAAACTCATTTCCCAGAAAAAGTTTCTTGGCACAACTAGCCTTCCAGGTGCTAGAGTGATTTATTCCCATTATTGTCGGACACCCTGGAATCCCACTCTTACCTTGAGCAAGAGGTTGCAATGGTAAAGCAGGCTGGCCCGGCTGAATTGATAGCAAACCTTGACGTTGCAAAGACAAGAGGTGTTGCTGTTGCAGTTGCTGCATTTGCAGAAGCTGCTGCTGGAAGGCCAACTGTTGTGAAGTCACCTGTTGCTGCTGCGGCTGGCAAAGAGAAAGAATTGATATGCTTCTTTTAGTTTCATATATCTACTACTCCCTTCCACTTCTACATTTAGGAGAGAAGGAAACGATTCATTAAAGAACTTTGAAAGCAGTTTAGCATCTGAGCCAAACCTACAGTAACCGGGTAGAAGACTCATTAACAGTGCAATTCTATGCATGTCTACTTAACTGTGATGTTCAGTGAGATTTAGTTCCACTTGAGAATTACACCCCAGCAAGTAACAGGAATACAAACAAAGTCATGAAAATAGTTACAGCTAGTTTATGAGAATTGCTGCTATGAGCTCAGGCAAATATTGATGGGGCCCGGCATCTATATGAAAGTAGCAGCAGTTCCCAATGCATTTGCTTTCCTTAACTACCATACAAAGGTGCAGCTGCACAGACATCACACATGTCTATTATTTTTAAAGCATGTCTGCATATCTTATGTCTCATTAGTTAAATGTTTTCCAAGAGTTGAGCTTGGCAGCATACCAGGTGCTCAATAAACCTTGCTGTTTTGCTGCCTGCTTGTAAGTGTAAAAATGAGGGACCTGGCTGTCATCAGATGGCAAGCCATAATTCAAAGCTAGTCAAGTTACATTGAGCATGATGGATCACAAGCTGCGCAGACCTGTTAAAGCAATCCTCAAATTACTGGCTGATTTTGTAACTTAATGGGTTTCAGAATGGTGACCAAATCCTAATCTTAAAGGCGGACTTTCCTGAGAAGTCCTATTAAAATAATTATATTATATTCAGGTACTCTGTAAAGCAGGATCATGACACACTTGGATTTTTTTCAAGGAATTCATGGGTACAATGGATGGAATTGAGGGAAGATTAGGGCCTTCACCAAATGGCTGCCACAATAGACAAATCTAGCCCAAAGACAATTATTTAATGGAACATACTAGTCCATATATTGTCCGCCAAACCTTGCTTAACTATGCTTTTCTTTTCTTTTCTTTTTTTGGCAGATAGACACACTTCAAAGGAAGCATTATGCCAATAGCACTCATGTGGAATTCACAGCATTCACAGAAATAAATACCGCAGATTGGACTGTGCTTTTCCCATACCAGTTATCCATTCTTTCTAAAGTAATTTAAACAATTGCACATATTTAAAAATATCAAGTGTGGGGGAAAAAAAATCCTTCCAGGAGCTGAAGGACTAACGGTCCCCTCAGTTCCAACAAGGACTTATAAAGTTAAAAAACATTTGTGAACTAAGAAAGAGAATTTATGACATTTTTAAGAGATAAATTATGAGGAACCCTTCCATTTATCATAATGTTTATTCTTTATGGTGACATAAACATGGGCGAAGTATTAAAAATATGAAAAAGGTAGGACAAAAATATGAGCAAAGAAAAATCTTCTACATATTATCATAAGACATTGTTTCCAATACTGCCATTTTAAACCTTAAATGGTGCGGATTGGAGAATTCTTGTCACTGCAGTATGGACTTAGCCAAATTCATGCATTTTTAAAAACATTATAAATTATAAACTTTTAAATCATTTAAAAAGCATGACCATATGGCACACCTTTTAAAAACAATTTCAAGTGAATGGCATCTACAGACAGAGACTCAGCATATATTCTCTAATAGCATTACTAATAGTGTGCACAGGTGTAGTTCAAAAATGTTGCTTGTCGCTATGATTGGCAACTAGTGAAGTTCTTATAAACTTGAACTGCCTAGTCCAAGCAGAGAAAATAACATGAATCTCATACATCTACACTTAATTGTAATGATAAATAACCCATGCTATGCTCTATTTACTTATTAAAGTACTGTTTCAGCTATTAAGGCACCAATTGGTTAATTTATTGTATTTTCCATAGGGGCTGTTGCTGTCATGCAATCTATCATTTCCACTTAAAAAAAAAACTTCAGCAGTTTGGGGAAAAATTATCTCAGGGAAAAAAGCTATGATGTTATATTTGCCATGATCTGAACCTTGAACCCTTAGAGGTGTAAAAGACCATGTTGCTTTCTCACTGCTGCCCCCAGAGAAGGTTTTAACTACTCTGTTTATCACTTCTGACATAAATAAATGAGAAAAAATCCCAGACCTTTGAAGAAGAAAAACTTCATCTAATATTGTTAATTAGCCATGACAAACGATGAAATAACACTGTAAATCTTTCATAGAAACAGCCACTAGATTTTAATTATACACATTCATAATTTAGCAAACAACATCTTATTTGAATGCACTTAATGTGTACAGTACTTGAGGCTTCAGAGTCCTTAATTTTGTTTCATTTAAGGAAGCCCTTAGGTTTTACTCGTCTTGTATTTTATTTACTTTTGTTCTTTAAGCACCCATGAAAAAGCTTTTGCTGCTTTGATAAGGATCTTTTTATTTATTGAGCAATGACAGGAGGAAACTTGGTTGTGTAAAATATCAGTGCATCAAGCCAATGTTTAGCAATTCCTTAAGCTAGCCAAAAAAAAGTTAATGTAGATTTCCTCAGTAATTATCTGAGTGATAGAAAGATAACATAGTGCACTAGCACAATAAACAGAAGGAAATTATCTAATATCCCTAATCTGTTAGGAATCATATCAAGGTGGAGGGCTTCAGAGAGTTTGCAGCTAACATCTGCAGAAAGAAAATTAACCCTTGACTGACTGAAACATATATACTCTACAAGACAACATTTGGAAAGAATGGATGGAGTCTACTTGAAGAATTAAAACCTATATATAATGGAGAATAATTGCCTATAGGAATTTTCTTATTTTCATCTTTAAACAATTCATTTTAAAAAATGTATTGTTAGCATCTACCCACTTTGGCTGATTAAAAAAAAAAAACAATCATAGTTGGGCCTGATTACTAGGATGTTCAGCAAGAAAGCTGATCAGTAAAGGCAGGATGGGGAATTTTAAAAAAACTTGGGAAAAGGCAATGACAATGACAATCTTCAAGTGACATGCTAAGAAAATTGCATGGATCAGCAGGATTCAATTTTGATTGGAACAAGTCTTTACAAAACATCTATAGGGTGTTTGAAGAACTAAAACCTATATACAATGAAGAATAACTGCCTATAAAGGCATTTATTGCCTGCCATTAAGGTTGGAACTTCATTTTGTTCCAACCAACCAGATCAGAATATGTCTACAGCAGTGTTTCTCAACCTTGACAATTTTAAGGCATGTGGATTTCAACTCCCAGAATTCCACAGCCAGCAACGCTGGCTGTGGAATTCTGGGAGTTGAAGTCCACATGCCTTAAAATTGTCAAGGTTGAGAAACACTGGTCTACAGTTATACAAAAGCAGGAAAAAAGGAGTAGATATACTCTTTGGAGTAGGTGATTGCAATAAATCAACCAACCAACATTTTTTTGCTTGGAAAAAAAATGAATAATATATAGTGCATCTACATAGCTCTACCTCTTCAACAACCAACTTTCATGTAAATTTTGACTTCTTTCTTGGGAGAATTATCTGCTTGTCAAAATATACCAGAGAGAAGCCTTCCTTGAAACAAATTCCCACATGTACAATATAGTTCTGGAGCTTTAATTAGCTCTTTTCACTTTTGGGATCAAGTTGGAGCTATTTTCACTTTTGGGATCAAATGTTTCGCCTTCTTTCACCCATCTTTCTGTACTTCATTCCAGCTGAAATGAATCGGCATTTCTCAAGAAAATAAACCATTCTGTGGTTTCCATACACCAAATGATTGGGAGAAACAGATCCACCCTTCCTCTTCTTTCATTGTCAAAATTAACAATAGCAAAATATATTACAACTGACTCAAATGCATGAATGCTAAACAGTCAAGGGTTCAAAACAAAAGACCCCCATATTAAGAACAGGCAGACCACATATTAATCCCAAACCCAGGTTAACCAGAATAAATAAATAAATAAAAATCTGGGCTTACATAATATATATGCCAAACAAATAAGTTATATTATGACTCAATACAATGCCAGTGCCATACAACAAGCTTTGACAATGGTTGGTTCACACATTATTTTATGGCTTGTTTTATTGTACACTACCCAGAGTCATGTTTTATGACAGAAGTCCCTAACCTTCAGGCCATGGACTGGTACCAATTCATGATCTGTTAGGAACTGGGCTGCACAGATAGAGGTGAATGGTGGGCAAGCGAGTGAGCAAAACTGAACCACACCTCCGTCCAAGGAAAAATATATATTCCATGAAACCAGTCCCTGATGCCAAACACCAGTTGGAGACTGGTGTTTTATGAGATAGGCAGCTATATAAATATGATTAACTATTTTAACTGCAACGATTTAATTCTATTTCAGCTTAATATAGAGTATTGTGAAAATCAACCATTAAGTCCTTCATAAAAAGCTGGTTTGTTCTTGGCACCATACATTTGAGCACCATGGTAGTTAAATTGGCCTGGAGACAGAAATGACAAAGGTAGCATCTCTTTGACTGGAGAGGCAACAGCAAGAACAACAGAACTGCTCAAACACACTTTTGGGGTTCCAACAATGGCAGAATGGGCTTCCCGTGACCATAAGCACCCTAAAACTAGAGGAAAGGGTGAACTCATTGTTAAGTATCCTATCTTGCCCTTTCTTCGTTAAATCCCCCAATTCTTCTTTATTTTTGCTATCTCACCAAAATATATTCTGACAACGGCAAGGGGCATTCATGGCAGGGAAGGAATGTTCAAACTCTTTTTATTCCAAATTTCAAATGTACTTCTCTTTTTATCCTTAGCCGGTCTAGTAAAAGCTGTTACCATAATTACTTATATGGAACTGAATCTGTATTACATCATTTATCTAAGGGCACATTTGACTAGGAAGAGACTGTCTTGAAATTAACTGTACAAAAGTTTATTTCTTAAGTTTGCTAGCTTTCTGAAACCTATGTAGTAGAAGGGAATGATCAAAAGATGCATTATTAAATATAAGATTACTATCTTATTTTGGGAACTGGTACGGTGCAGTGATTAATGCCCTGGACTAAAATTGTCGA